GTGCTATCCGGGGTTGAATGTCGGGCTCCGCGGAAAGCCCCGCGCACGCAGGGATCCGACCCTCACCCAGGAAGTTTCGCCAACTACCATAACTTTGAAATGGAGACCTATGCGTAGATCGAATTAGAGTCATAAGTTTTGATCTACAAATATAGATAGCAAAATTGCAAACTGCATTTCACAAGCAACTTCTGAGCAGGTAAAGTTTGTAATGTTGCAGTAGAATGGAGGCTTGGTGGTGAGGTGTGAAGCATAAGCGAGGAATTGCATACGTCTATTCGAGTCGAGCGAATCGTCGATATACGCTTTACCACCGAACCACACGGCTCGATTCGACGCATGCGATTCCTCGCCAATGCTTCACACATCATAATAAAGCCTTCCACCTCATGCACCATTACAAACTTTACCTGCTCTGCTTGTGAAATGCAGGTTGCAGTTTTGCTATCTATATTTGTAAATAACCTTATAGACTCTATCAATCTACCCAGGTCTCCATTCAAAGTTCCATGGTAAGTTGGAGGACTTCCCTGATCAGGCCAGTCAAGCCTTCTACCCTCAAGAAACGGCAGATTGGGTCCAGATTCGTCTGGGAGGATGAGAACGCTGAGCTGTAAATCGCTGGCCCGCCATTAAGTCATAATGTAGGGCATAAACCCCCCGATCGCCAGTTCTATGAGCGCACTACGATATAATTCGTCTTTGAAAGGCTGATCAGAATGTGGTCTGCCCATATATGCTGACGCTGCTGGGCTGACTCTCTGGAACAAAGCCTATGGAGGTTTTTGTGGAGAGCACGCCTCATGTTTAACATGAATAAGAGGCACTCACATCTACAGTGGCGTCTTTGCAAAATGCGATATTGCATGCAAAATAACAGTAGCATTATTTTGTAAAGAATCTAAATTTTGATTTCAGCGAGTTTGGGGATTTTCGGTGTTTCCTAGTGAGATAAGTAATCAGTGTCAAATGGATGTTTCAGTCTACGTCCTTTCTTAGTAAAATAAAGTACAGAGTCTTTGATGGAATTTTGGTGGTTTTTTGGACCAAGCTTTCTCCCATTCATTTCAATAACGAGTCGGAGTTTGAATGCGTGTATTTATAAAATGGATTATAATTTAGAACCCTCTAGATGAAGCTTTCAAGAGCGGGATTCCACTTTCAGCTTTCTAGTTTTTGTTGCTCTTGACTGTATTCTTCCGAAAACAGTGAAAAATGAAAATTCATGGTTTAATGGGATATTTCTTATCTCTTATTCTGTTGACGGACTTCCTCATTTTATTTTATTTATTAGTGTTGAATACTGCCGTTGTACAGAAGCACCTTTTTGGCGCACTTTTTTAGGTGATTTCTTCAATCAACGTGTTTTGGGCACTCGTTCGTAACACAAACACGTTTCCTTTTGCATTCTAGTAGTCTCCAAGCTTGTTCTGTTGATTGGAGCCATTTTCATTCGATCTGCCCTTCTTATAGGTTTTTTGGCATGTTCTCAACCATTCGCTCATGTTCCCTGCAGAGACAATAGGCGAAAGCTGAAAGCACTTTCGTTTTTCGCATATCTGCAAGCTTTTCTGTCATTGCAGGGCTTTATGAGGCTTATGCTTCGGCGTCTTTGAACTTCGTGAAAGTCCGGAGGAAAAAAATAAAGGGACTTGTCCTCATAGACCCTTGACAGCTCTCAAGACATTTTCACCATACTAGTGAACCACTCAACGGTGACGACAGAAGCATGGCTTCTGAGACCGGTCCCAAGACCACATTCATACTTTGCGACTCGGGAAATTCTGTGATTTTAAATATTGTGCGATAAGGGGTCATCGATCTAGCGACTGTGGAGGCTGGGCGATCTGGCGATTTGGGGACTCGGCGCTTCTGGCGATTGCGCGTCGAAGGAGCGACTCAATCTCAATTAGCGCCGATCGCTAAATCGTCGGATCGCTCAGTCATGCGAGACCGAATCGCCGAGTTGCTTAGCTATCGAATCGCTCATCTCCCAAGGACGACCGTGCGATTTTCTCAGATCGTTGCGCTCAAGCTCCCAATGCCGGATCTTTTGCAATTGAAGGCGACCGACACACCGATCGATACCATCACTCTTTGGCCCGCAGTGCTGCAACGCCGCGACTTCCCGCAAATCACCGGATTCGCTCATGCTTCCGCAGCGGCCAAGTGTACCTATACTTCCCTCTTTGAACAGTCTCCGTAGTTGCCGATTCTCCCAAATCGCGGAATATCCCGAGTCGCAATGTTTGAGAGCGGTCTAAGGATGGTCTCGGCGTCAGACCAGACAAGTTACATTCGTTCTTTGTCCGTTTCGGGTTCTGATGACGCGGAAACGTAGGCCTGATAAAGCTTTACATTCCTGCCATGGTCTAAAGGTATATATCATTGAAGTCCATCATGCCAAGATCACAGTGACCTCGTGCATGGGCGTTCTCAAAGAATTTTACTGTATGGACCCAGTACGCCGATCAAAAGGTTAATGGGTACGTTGTCTTAAACATACTGCCGTGCGCACGGTGACGTTTCCGTACTGGTTTTATAGGGTACAGCATGTTGTGTTGGAGAACGCATAGGAAGGGAGTGTACTTCTTCTCTGAGGAGGGGGATCGTATTTGGTCGTTTGGGAGAGGGGCGGGGTCGTATGTTCCTTTGAGAGAAATTCGTCGCGTTGGTTCTCCGGTTGTTGATTTTTGCATGATTTTTTCCTGTTCATGTGCATTACCACCCCCCAACTCCCCTCCGCCCCGCTGGATGGAAAATTTTGGGTGAAATAAACTGGAAAGATGGGGGAAATTTGTAGTTATTGAGTTAGGTGAGCGCATGGACAACCTCTCAGGAGGGGGGGTCGTACTACACACCACTCTACACATCACGATGCTGTACCCTGACTGTTTTTCTTTCCATTATGCCGTTCTCGCGTAAGCAGCCTGCGTGAAGTTTTTTATTTATTTATTTAGTGGACGCGCATTAGCGCATAAAACAACAAAAAGCGAAGAGCACCCATAAACACAAGTAAAAACTGGTTACGTAGCTTCTTGGCATATAACCACTGGCGCGTTTGGCGCCGAAGGGACAACTCGCACATTCGCTGCTTCACTTGTTCCGGGTTGCAAGTCTCACTCTGGTAAAACCACTCTTGTGAAGCTGGATCAACCGTGGGTGTTGATATTTGCATATTATTTCATTGCTTTACAAAAGCTGACAGGTGGTCTTTACAGACGTTGGCTGGTGTCATTTCGTGGCTTCACAGGATTTCACAAAATCCGCAGGTCTCCTCTTGATGGCTAGGCACGTCGATGGGAAATAGCAAAAGTGGAAAATGCCCCCCCCCCTCCTCGCCCAATGTGCCTAACCATTTTTGAACAGGGTTCCACAATTACGAATTTTTAACTTTTTACTTATTCCACTGGAATACTTCAAATGTAAAAGCTAGTAGAAGCTGGTACAAACGTCCATTCACCAAGTATTTTGTGGACTTTTCTAGAAAATCATTGCATCAAAAATGCACTTTTCGGAGCAGTTACTTAGGTAGTGGTTGGTTAAAAAATAATAGTTTACACGAGCATGTCACTCATGTCTCTAGTGGCCCATATCCGTCGTGTATCTCAACAAGCATTTTTTCGAAGTATGGCATTAGTAAGCGCGTTCAGACTTCGCGATCGCGCGATCGGATCGCTTGGATCGCGCGATCGAATCGCGCGATCGGATCGCGCGATTGGATCGCGCGATTGGATCGCGCGATTGGATCGCGCGATCGGGATCGCGCGATTGGATCGCGCGATTGGATCGCGCGATCGATCGCGCGATTGGATCGCGCGATCGATCGCGCTACTGAGGGTGAAATTACTGCGGGAGGGGGTTATGTGCGTATATGTTTATTGATCCTGCTCTCTCTCTTTTCCTTCTTTCTCTCTTTGTGTACATAACGTCCTACTAATTTTAAAGGAAGTTTCGAAATATCTTTGAGTTATTTATTATTTAATATGTAAAATAGTACTAAATATACATGCTAATTATTATACTGAATTTTGCATTTGCGTACGTTCAGCGGAATGTTTTGAACACTTGTCCAACAAAGTCAGACAGCAGTAACTTTAACAGCGATGAGTGTTGTTTTTTCTCTGTCCCATCGATTTTGCCAGTCTCCAGAATTCACTTTACTTTTGTCACATTGTGTTTGCTTTGTTTGTTCTGCCGTCCTCCAGGTCTATACACAACCTTTCCTTTCGACGGTTTCTGCAAATCGTCAGTTGCGAATATGAACATGGAATAAAAGACATCAAAAAAGGTCGAATTACTTTTATATCGTTTTTGGAACTGCCTATTGGAGGCAGGATACAGCATTGTGATGTGAGAAATGGTGATATTAGTACGCTCCCTTCCCAGAACTTTTGTTGTTGTTGTTTGTTGAGTTGAGTTGAACATGAACGAACATGACCCCCTCCCGCAGTAATTTCACCCTCAGTAGCGCGATCGGATCGCGCGATCCAATCGCGGCGATCGATCGCGCGATCCAATCGCGCGATCCGATCGCGCGATCCATCGCGCGATCCAATCGCGCGATCCAATCGCGCGATCCAATCGCGCGATCCAATCGCGCGATCCAATCGCGCGATCCGATCGCGCGATCCAAGCGATCCGATCGCGCGATCGCGAAGTCTGAACGCGCTCTTAAGGTTCGCTCATGTCCTCTCTGAAATTTTTATATCGTGCAATTTGTCTTCTTCCGTGAGTTTTTCAATGTGAAGTGATGGGTGCGCAAAAGGTGAATGTACTCTGAAAAAATGTTCATTCATCAAGCAATGGCACTTGTGGACTAATCATCCTAAGAAGTAGTGTTTCCTGTATAGTAGAGGTCAGTCACTAAAAGAATTCATTGCTGAGGTGCATGTTGAGTGAACCCAAGGTCGTAGAGAGAGGGTAGACTTCGTGGTGTCTTTTGTGTGGAAAAGATTAATGGAATGAGGTGATGTCGAGCGTGTTTCAGTGAGTCGTCGATGGCTGTTGCAGCAGCCGAGGTGATGATCTACAACGAAAATCGCAAAAAATGGCAAGCTCCTGATGGTGCTGAGGGTCAAATCTCGAGTATTCAAGTTCTGCATAATGCTGTACGGCAAACGTTCAGAATTATTGCGATCAGGGAGCAGGTGTGTTAGAACTTACTGCCAACGTTTTTTTTTTGCGAATTTACTCCGTAGAAGATGCTTTCCAAATGAAGGCACCCGTCATTTAATTTCCGTTTGCCCATTTGCCTACCCAGTCGTGCTTCTAGAATTTCATTTCAAAATCTCTCTAGTACCATGATACAACTAGGTCTCTAGCATCGGGGGGTAGTAATGCTGGATTGGCACGATTCTGCTATCGCCTGATCGCTCAGCGTTCACCAGTACAATCTGTGTAATGTGCCTGAAGTTCCTGACTTGTTTAACACTTTTATTGGCGGGGTTTCGGCCATGCCTTCGTTAGGCCACAGATTACAATTCTAGAGCAAATAGCTAGAGCAAACGGTATATCAAAATTTTTGCAATACCTTAGGGGGAAGATCTAGGGAGGGGGTTACAGGAACATAACCCTGGCTGATATAAAATTAAAAATAGTGCGCGATCAAGTGGTCCGCGAAATGCCTCCGTGCATTTGGCATCGTAGTCTTCATTCATAAAAAATGTACCACATCGACGCTCGATACGGCGAGATAGGAAGCTAGAGACGCGTGATTATTGCAACCACTGCAACCACTTGCAAGCGGCGTCGTAGGGCGGTTCCATATGCTCTTACCAGGAGTGATTGCTCTAGAATCCTGCTTATTGGGCTTGTGCTCATGATGACCTCGTTCAAGGCGGCAGCCGCACTGCTCAGGAGGGTCTCTGTTCAGAATGTTCCTAAAGTTTTTTTGCTTCCCTCTACTGCGAAATTACTTGTGGGCATCTGGTTCATGATTGAGCACCTACTATCGCGGTAACACTTGGTCGCGAGTAATGCTTTTGAAGGCAGTTTGGCACGATGGTTTCCCATTCCTAAACCCTAGGCCTAAAACGCTAATGGCGAAAGAACGGAGTGAAACGGTCAAAATCCGGCGAAGAAAAAGCCTTCGTTCTCAGTGACTTGTAAATCGATTTCGGACGAGTTTCCCGTACGCATCTTGCCAATCACCGCTACCGAAGATACGGCTGCATATGTGTACCCATGTATGCATGCAGCATCACGGCCGCTTCATACCAATCCTTCGCTTCATAATTTGCTCAGCAAATGAATGAATACGAGCGTCAGGAACGGTCGTCCGTTTGTGGGCGGGCGGGCGAGGAAGGCGTTTGGGACGGAATGTTGTTGCTCGATAGGGCGTTATAGGGGTACCCTCCTTGGAAAAGGCGCCACGGAGCGCCTGTCCGAGGTCACGGAATTCTGTTAAGCCAGTCGTATAAATCCTACATCTATCTGTATGGCGATTTATCGTGCCAACTGCCTTTAGGGCGTAAGAGTGGTCGGTGATTAGCCGATGAGCCCCAAGAGGTCACGCAGCTTCTATTCTCCATTAATCTCCGGTCCTATCCTGTGTATCTCCCTCGCTTCCGTTATTTTGCTCTCCAGCTGCGTACAAATGTCTGTGGCAGTGCAAATGCAACGTCAACAGAGAGGAGAGTCGTTTGATGCACGACGGTGACTTGGCAAAAACTGGCCTGGTGGGTAAGCGGCGGGGTTGGTCAACGTCCTTCCGTGCACGTCCAGACGGTTGTTCAAAGGGCGTGCAGTCTCCCCGCATGTGGAAACGAGGTCCTGAAAGGTACTTCAAGGCATCCGTCGCTTTCAAAGGTTATTGGCCGTGACGTTCATATCTTAATCCCTTCGCCTTCTGAAATGTCTTTCTTTAGTCGAAACCCACTCGGTATGCAAGAATGTTGGTTTTTTGATAAGCGTCGGCTCGCTGTCAGGGGATTTGGCAGACATGCTAGAGATCTGTTTCTTCGGACGATAATGACGTGTGTCTTGAACGCCTAATTTCATAAATTGTGTTCACGTGTGCTGTAATCTTTCGAACACTGTCATTTTCAATTAAGATGGAGCTAGTTATCCTACAAATGATGATTTCTTTCTTTCTTTTTTTTGACTTTTTTGCAACGGTACGATTGATTTAGGATGGTGCATGGGTTATAAATTGTAATATTCACCATAAACTCAAGTATCACACCGCTACCCCAACCTTCCATCAATGGAGAGACGAGCAGCGGCAGGTACGTTGCTTCTCAGTCGACTTTCTTCAAAATTATCTTTGATAGGATGGCTAAAGCCAAATGAGTGATTTCTGAAGTTTGAATGTATCGATCCAATTTATCGGCATGCGAAGCTATATTTAGGTGTATGGATTGAACTTCTCATCAGAGAAAGAAGCGCGAGATTTTGTCTCGGCGGTTGGCCAAGCGATTGACTATCTCAACCATCAGTTTATTCATGGAGGAGACTATCAAGTTCCAAATGGTATGTTCTGTTTCAGTCCCTTTGCTCTTATGATTCGATCTTTTTCGCTCTTTGGCTTACGGTCTCGGAGCATTATCACGATAATGAGTCACGTATCCGTTTAATGAATCCGTGAAAGCTCTTTACGACCAATATAAGAGTCAAAACCTCATAGTGTAGCTCCTTTTTCGATAGTTCAAAACTTATACGTCTTGCTTTTTTTTTTTT